TGATTCTGCAGGTAGTACAAAAGATACAAATTGCGATATAGATCGAAACATTTTTCAAAAACGATACGAACAAGAAGAACTGTACTCGTAAAGTTAGCTCCAAAATGCTGAAAGTTAAGGGTGATGTTGTTCCTTTTTTGGAGAAGGATGAAGATACGAGGATGTGCCCAGCGAAGAAGGACTATCTAAGCTCTCTAAAGTATAAAACAAATCCCAATACATCTGTTAATAAATTAACTCATGTTTTTTATTGGAATTCAGCATCAAATTGTTGTAAAAATCATTCCCACATCCTATCAGTCATTCCCTCATTTCATAGTTTATTAAAAGTCATTTTTCTACATGTTATACACAAAAATATGGAGGACCTTCATTTTCAATGAATCTCACTAAAGTAAAACTTTATACTTCTGCAAAAAGAGGATATATCTTCATTATTTTTTTTAAGTAATGCAAAATGAAATTTCTAACTTTGTTGAGAAATACCCATGTATGTATGTGAATAAGAATAATTCTATTTCTCGGGCTACGATACCAAACGGCTTGATGGATTTTGACATACGAAGTATCATTAAATTTGTATTTGTAGCGCGAGTGACACAGGTCAAATAATTTTTAGTTAAAAATGACGGATTTTGATCGAAAATTTCAAATTTTGTATTTCACGGGCCCAAACGGCTTGATGGATTTTGTCATCTGTGGTATGTTTAAGTTCGTCTCGATAGTACAATTGAAACTTCAGCCTCTTCAGTTATTTTACAATATCTCTCATAAGGTTGAAAAAACTTTGAATAGCGATTAACGTTCAATGGTGTTGACTGAAATCGAAGACCAAGCATGTTCTAGATGCCCTACTTCGCCGGCCGCAATTCTCCACCCGAAGCTAAGAGAGATTGTAATAATTTTCGATGAGCAAATGTCTTATGATCGCGATACAAACACAACAGTCATCGATAGGTGTTCCTGAGGGTGCGCTTTCGAGGACAGTGGGACGAAACTTGAGACGATAATTGCATACATTACCTGCCGTACGACCACTTTCGACAGCGATACGCTTGATGTCAGGGGTCAGAAATGGATTGGTCAAAGGCACGGTACACTTACAATGCAGCGAATATAAACATGCTAACCAGAAGAAATATCCATTGGGTCACAAAATTGATAACACCAGCTTTTTAGAAATAGTACGAAGCATTCCAAATATGCGGGTGATCGTATTCATTTGTACTTAGCGTCCTCACTCTCAATGTTCCGCAAATTGTTGATAGGTCCGATTTAGAGTAGAGTAGCGCATGACCTACAAATAGGTTTACTTACTGCTTCTAATGAGCATAAACATGAGATGCTATAAAAGGTATCAGCTACTTCCCTTTTCAAAGCGGTATTTTTTGCTTTTAGTATCTACAGGGTGGTTCGTAAATGTGCTCGTAATAATAATAATATTTATTTACTCTAAAACACAGGGAACATGAAACGGGTAAATAAATATAATATATCCATAGAAGGACAACGCCTGTGCATGGATCATATGTATGTTGAATTGCAAAAGATAAAAAAAATAGAGAGAAAAAAATATTGCTAAGAATGATAGCATTTATTATGTCATATTTGAGATTATTCTATTAATGTGATTTCTCCCAATCGGGCATAGTTTTACTGCAGCCGCGAGAGGGCGCTCTCTCCTGTACCTGTAGTGTATTAAAATGACCGAAAATTTTTTCTTAGTGCAATTTTTTGCTTTTTGAATAAAAAAACTGATTCTTCGCACTTTCTGCATAAAAAAGCTCTCCTGTGAGTTTTCGTTATAGTTAGCCGTTTTTGAGATATTTCGATTTCTAAGGTTCGATGCATTTTTAATTATTTATGGGAAAATAATATTTTTTTTCACATTTTCGATTTGAGCATTACAAGTAATTAAGATGATCGTTTAGATTGTGTTTTTAAACACAGCAATAATTCCTAACTCCAAATAAACACAAAAAAACAGAATATTAATTTGTTTAATTTTCCAATATTATTTTTAACAAATTAAATTAATTATTTACAACTAAAGTGCTATTGGATAGTTAGGACAAACATACAAAATCTAAAGTAGTTGCTTGAAATGTAAACCCAATTGTTCAATACACAATTCACATCTACGAATGATCGAACGTGGTATAGCATTATTCAAATAAGGCCTTATTTTATCACATGCATTCCTGATTCTGTCCATTAGCATATCTCTTGTGGTCACGGGAGTCTGGTACACTTTTTCTTTTAGAAATCCCCACACAAAGAAATCTAATGGATTTAGGTCAGGGGATCGTGGAGGCCAGGCGACTGGTCCTCCACGGCCGATCCATTTTTCTGGATAATTTTCGTCCAGCCAGTTTCTAACTATTCTCCAATAATGAGCTGGACAACCATCAAGCTGGAACCAGGCCAATCTTCTTAAATCTAACATAACATCATCCCACATATTTGCATGTTCAGCCTTTAAAAATTCCAAGAAGGTCGTAGCATTTAACCTTGAGGCAAAAGGTAGGGTCCAAATAGTCGATTACGGTAGATACCAATCCACACGTTCACACTAAATTCTCTGCGTATTCTCTGGCTGCTTCTGCTGCGTTTCCATTTACAAAGCCATACACAAAATGAATATCCGCTAACTCTTGATTGGAGAATAAAAATGGCATTTTTATAAAACTTACAAAAAAAACAGGTAAAAGAAACTAAATTTCGTGCATTCACAATTGCAAAAAAACGTTTCAGGTTTCAACAGACAACAAAACTAACTGTCAACTAATTGACTTTTAACCTTATTCTGCTTTCAATTTCAAAAATATTTGCAGGCGCAGCCTACTTCTAAAAATTATCGAGATACTGACTTTTTAACGTTATTTTATCATAAGTAATTAAAAATGCATCGAACCTTCAAAATCGAAATATCTCAAAAACGGCTAATTTTAACGAAAATTTACAAGAGAGCTTTTTTTATGTTGAAAAGTGCGAAGAATCAGTTTTTTTATTCAAAAAGCAAAAAATTGCACAAAGAAAAATGTTCGGCCTTTTTGATACACTACAGGTACAGTAGAGAGCGCCCTCTAGCGGATAGAGTAAAACTATGCCCATGGTTCGTTTTGTCGTACCAAAAAACCCTTGTATACCAATTTTCACTGTTATACATCAAATATTGTTCGAAATATTTAAAAAAAAACTATTTTAGAAAGTAAATTTAAACACCCTGTATTTCAGAAGCCACGCATTTTTCGGCCCATGTTTATATAGACTTTATGCATTAATTTTAAAAGTTCTATCGAATCTTAAAGTTATGCAACAATAAACTGAAACACCCTGTATAAGTCATTAGTTAGGTATAATTTTGATTTGCCAAACATTGATTTTAAAATTGTTCTTTGACGCACATCTAAATCGTTAAGGTATGTCGTGCATGCAGCACCCCATACTACTATACCGTATGTTATGTGCAGCTTGATATATTATTCGTAGATAATATTCAGTTAATTTACCGGTTAGACATTTTGTTTTATATGCTATGAATCTAATTTTCTTTAGTAGGTAAGAAATATGTACATCACATCTCAAGTGGGGATCTAGATAAATTCCTAAATATTTTGTATCATTAACTCTATTGATTTTTAGATTTTTATCATTTACCTTAAACCGAAGGTGGTTATATTCTGGTAGATGATTAGATAGTGATGAAAATGGTAAAAAATGAGTTTTAGTAAAGTTAGTTGTTAATTTTCGGTTATTAAACCACTTAAAAATTTTGCCAAAAGTCATTTTGGATAACATCTTTTAAGTCGTTCCAATTCTTACCTTTATAGAGTATAGCAGTGTCGGCCGCAAAACTGACTATTTTACCAGTACTATTAATTTTGAATATATCGTTTAAATGAATATTGAATAACAGAGGACCCAAAATTGTACCTTGTGGTACACCACATTTAACAAACATTTCTTTACTATATGAGTTTAATAATTTTACTGATTGCGGTCTATTTGATAAATAATTTTCCATTAAAGTGTACATCTTTAAAAGAAAACCTATTCTTTCCAAAAGTATATTGTCGTTAACTGTGTCAAACGCTTTTTGTAAATCCACAAATACGCATATCGATGGTCCTTTTCCATCCATATTTTGGGTAATTTCATCTACTATAAAGATAATGAAGTTGAGATGAATATGCCTTAATGTGCCATAAATGAAAACGGTCTGCTTATTGTTGCAGCACAAACGTCAAAGATAGGGATTTACTCCTTAACTTGATTTTCAAGCTACTTGTGTGAACCAAATCTTGACAATTCAAGAAGTCTCGATATTATTTCATAATTTTTGTAATATAAATATGAGTAGATTATAAATACACAACGAAATGATTTTGTGACAGTTACAGGGAAACAATACCAATTGAACAAAATAATTTGTTCATCGTAAAACAAATAAAAAAAAACTCTAATCTGGAATATAAAAAAACATCAGCTGATACAAAAAAAAAATGGAAAATTCTGAGTTAGATTTCCATTCACATACCATAGTTAATCTACACCAGGGTCCTAATGAATGTATCGCTTAATCTGTTGCGGGGTTCCGTAATTGTTAGTGCATCCCTAGAAAATTCGCTTTCAATGGGCACTTATTATTATTACTATTCTACTATAAGTCAAGTAGTTTCTTAAAATGTCAAACCACTTGACTTGATGAATCCGAAATGTCAACAGCTTGAGCTATACAGAAACAACGATTTCGAAAATTGAATTCGTACACCCTGTATATTACTGAGCGACATTTAACTAATGTGCATATCATTATTTTGAAGAGTTCAATTCAAGATTCGGACCACCATGTACGCACCTATCTGAAATGCTAATAATGTGTGAGCCGAAAAGTGCAAGGAGAAAGTCCTTGGAAGAAATATGTACTATGTATATTGGTGATTGCCATTAACCTGTGTCTATGCAATTGAGTTTCACGGTATTTTTTTTTGTTTCAGCAAGAAAAATTCGATAGTTCTTCGAACCCAACTTTCTGTGCGGGTACATACGATAATAGGTAAGTTTTATTTTACTTTGTTAAGTACTGGCTATGCATTGTTTTCGGATTACAAATGATTTTTTCAAATTCTTCTTAGTACTACTTTTAACAGCGCCATCTTAGTGCCGTATACTAACCCATTACAACGAATGTCTACAGAGTGTTGTCGATTATGGTAACTTGGAAAATATGTATTCGTTATATAGGAATTATTCATTAAAACGTACAGTTTCCAAGTTAGTTCAATTTACAGGAATTTACTGTTTGAAAATCGTATTTAGTAACAACCACTCTCTCGACGTTGCTGGCGTGGAAACTAGATTAAACCTGGCAAGCCCTAAGACCCAGATTTGTCATTTGTATCCCCTAAATTTTGACGGTTATTCATCCTGACAAATAAACAATATCAGCAAAGATACAATTTCGATTCAACATCATCAACAATTATACTATAACTATCTAAAACTGTAATGACTGTTCATAGGCGGGGTATGAATGTTTAACATGGGTGAACTAGATTTGTCACATGCTTAATAAAGAGTGGTTTGAAACATATTGTAAGTCAAAAATTTGGGAATTACCTTTATTCATCGTCGTTTCCACTTACATCTGACAGTAATAAACTGTCGCTATCGCTTTCCTCGTTGAAATTGACTATAACTGGCTCTATGATGGTGTCGATGTGGTGGTCAAGCTGCCACATTTTTTTTTCTTCCTTCACAACATGACGGATAGCATTCTGCCAAGCTTCGGGCGTTACTAGCTGTATGGAAGTCTCAAGTAAAACCTTAACGTCTGGTAATTTGAAGGTTGTGTTATGACGCGCAATATAACCCTTCACTTGAGCCCAGATGAGATCTATTGGGTTCAGTTCACAGTGGTAGGGCGGTAACCGCAGCACAGTGACACCACATTGACGGGCCATCTCATCAGTCACGTAACTAATGTTCGCAGGTTTGTGCTGTTTAATTTTTTCATACAATTCCGCTTTCACACATGAATCGTCAAACGGGATTCCTTTTTCGCGCAACCATTGCTGCATGTCACTTTTTCGAGATCCCATAGTCGGTACACGTTCGGCTCGACGACTATGGTAGGAAGCATTATCCATGACGATCACAGAGTTGGGCTCAACTCGCTGAAGCACCCCTTGAAACCAGCTCTCGAAGCAGCTGGCATTCATTTCGTCATGGTAATCACCTCCTTTCTTAGAGACAAAAATCAAGTCACACTCTTTTAAAAAGCCACTATCGCTACCAATATGAGTTACGATCAATCTTTGACCTTTCCCTGACGGTCCACGAAGACCTGTGGACAAACCTTCAATGCTTGCTTGTCGGTTACTCACTACGTTTTTGTCTATCCAGGTTTTTTTAACTGTGTGACCTGCATTTACCCATGTCTCGTCCAAATAATAGATTTTTCTGCTTTGTCGCCTATATTCAATCATTTCGCGTAGGTATTTTCGACGCCAGGCGACTATTTCAGGTCTCTATATCAATACTGACTTCCGATTACGCGTTTTGTAACGAAAATTAATTTGCAGGGATTTTCTCATTACCTCGACGCTCATTTGGGGTATAATTTCATTTTCCTTGATCGCTTTCCTTGAGGGTTGGTATCTCATTCCTAAAGAAGAATGAATGTGCGGTTCGCCTTAACGCCATTTTGCTATCGTCATCCAATTTAATGGCCTTTCGTCCCTTCAAATTAAACTTTGGATCAGTAGTAGCTCCACTTTTCTTCTTTTCATGCACCACCCTGCGAATGGTCCACTCTGGAACGCCTGTCATACTTTCACAACGCGCGAGTGCACCTCCCAGCGACATAGTTCTGTTCAGATAATTGAACGCGTTGAGCACGATTTCTTTCGCGTCCCTCTTCAGCGCTTTACGAAGCCGTCTACTTGTTCCCTGGCTTTCAGTACTTCCACTCATGCCATTTGTACTCTCCATGGTTAAGTATAACCAAAACAGTAACCACAGAAACCACAACAATAACAGTCACACAACAATTCTTATAAAAACATACAATATGCGATCGCTCAACGAAACACGTTCCAATGCGTTGCCGACGCCTATGAGTCTGCCGGTCGAGGCGCGTCTTTGATTTCATTGGTTCTACCGGCGGAGAACAATCAGCCATTATTTCCATCTCTGTCTGTGCTGTTAACCACCGCAAAGCCACAGAAACGACATATGTGCTACGCTATACGGCTGTACTGGAAGGAAGCCGGGATCGAGCTCTGATCACGTGTTGATCACGCGTATGAGTCATTACAGTTTTATATAGTTGTAGTGGTATAGCAGATATGATTCGAATTTTACCAGAGGTTTTCATAGCGACTGCCAGTTAAGGATTACGAGCCTTGTTTTGACTACTTTGTCACTCTAGAGAAGAATGTTTTTATCATTATTAACACGCTTGTATTAGCTTGGCCTTTATGTATGTATGTAAGGGAATTTTTGAGTATAATTTTCACCAATTTCTAGAAGCTTGATATATTCGAAACATCGCCACGTATCAAGGACCGATAACAGTGTAGAACAGAAAAATGATAATGATATAACAACAATAAATAACGGCTTAATTGGCAGAGTTTAGGGAATTCTGACACTCAACCGTGCTAAAACTAAATAACAAATAGAAAAAAAAAATATTGGACAAAATCCGCAAAAAGAAAGAAAGTGGATAGGCATAGGATAGGCAACCCGAGCGATACGTATTTCTGCTGGCTGGCTTCATCAGGACGGAAATGAAAGCTCACATGCAACTGCAAAAGTGCCCATACGGGTGCAACCTAATGAAACGAAGATGGGAGGGGAATAAAACGACACACGAAGTCACCAACAATAGCCAACCTACACATTGCAATATAATGGCCACATGAGGTTGGATACGTGTCACGATTCAGGTCCAGCGAGGCAATCTTTTACACAAAGATACAGGCAGCACCGTTTTCATGAAAAAATGGAACACTTGAAGTCCCCCATCAAAATCTGCCGATGCTTAAAACCGACGTTTCTAAAGTACGAGTACATAAATATCCAGTGACGTTTCCCATGGTCCTGTGTCTCTTTAAGGGCACCCCGTATCTGATTATGGCATTTTTGCACGTTTCTGAAACAAGGTAATTTGAGATCTGATTTACATAAAACATCGGCATCGTAATCATTACCTCTCATGTGGTATAAATTACAGAAGTACAAACAAACCAATATCCATTTTTCATCGCCTCAACGGTTGTTTTTCTACAAAGCAGTGCGTGTACAGCTATGCAGCTTCACACAACAGCTGGAATCATAAGGTGCCATTTGCAAACTGTGGCTATTTGCATATAAACCAGGTCTCACGGTGTAAATATTGTACAGTTGAAGGGGAATACTTGCGAATTATATGAGAGCTTACATAGTAACTTTTCGAATGATGATATCAAGTTAGATTAAGGAGGAATTCGTGAATGTTAAGGCGAACTATTGCGTTGTTGTGATTATGTCCACCATAAACAAACTTGAGTGGTGCAGACAACGGTCATTCTGGGATCAGGAATGGAACAGTATTGTCTTTAGTGACGAGTCTCGATTTTGTTTAGGCATGCACGATGGTCGTGCCAGTGTTAGAAGGCGACGTTGTGAAAGGAAGAATCCACAGTTTTTTGTTGAAAGACATGTTCATCACACTGTTGGAGTTATGGTTTGGGGTGCTATAGCTTATGATTCCAGGTGACCTTTAATCTTCATCAGAGGTAACATGAACGCGCAGCGTTATATCCACGAAGTTCTAGAACCCCATCTTTTACCCCATCTTGACACCCTGGCAGATCCAACTTTCCAACAAGATATTGCCCGACCACATGTTGCAAGAGTCACAATAGACTTCTTTCAACATAATGATGTCACATTGTTACCATGGCCACCAAGATCTCCCGACTTATCCCCAATTGAGCACGTGAGGGATATGATGGGTAGGAGATTGCTCAATTTGCAACGTCCTCCTCAGACTCTAGAAGCACTTCGAGAGGAGCTGGTGGTTGCCTGGAATGAGATACCACAGGAGGACATTGACCACCTACCTGATCAGAAGCATGCCTAGGCGCGTTGGAGAATGCGTAGCACATCAGGGTGCATCCACACATTATTAAAGATCAAAGGGCTTTAAAGCAGTGCAATCATTTTGAAATTTTTATCATTTACTTATTATGCTTCATTAAGTACTTATACAAAATTTTATTAAAATAAAACCATTTAAACTGGGTGTTCGAATTTATATGTCACTTAGTATATATAAAATAACAATATTTACAAATAATTTTGAGCGGTATTCTAAAATAAATTCATAAAATGGGTATCTTTTTCTTTTTTATAAATTATTTTCAAAAATATATTTTTAAAATTCGATTGTTTTAAAACATTGCTGTACAAACCAACCCACACCAGAATGCCATATCGCATCAATGTTTCGATTACAATAACAAAAAATTTATGAATTAATTTACGAATATGATTTTTTAATTTAGTTTTTTTTTATACTCCAACTTCCACGAAGGCCTAAGGCCTAAACACCCACTGGGTGGTATCGTGGGGCTATAGCGGGATAAAGGGAAAAGCGGAACGCCACACGGACTCTGGCGAGGGAACACGTGTACATGCAACATGCACACATTCTGGCTCCGCCTACGAGATCCGCCGGGTGGTACCTCCACGTTCGACAGTCAGAGAGCGTCTATCACCTACGGACAATCACAACATCCATAGCCAAGAGAAAAATTTCTCCTGGGACGGGACTCGAACCCGCACAGCGCACGGCGACTGATCAGGAGACCGAACAGTCTACTACTGCGGCCACCGCTGCTGCCTAGTATTTTCATATGTGCGCATGGCCCTAACACTTTCTACTTAAAATCTGTAATAAGGTACACTAAGATACCTAAATGTTATCCAAAAGCAGAAGGTCTAGGTAAAACATAAGAAAAATTAATTAATCGTTTATATAAACAATTCTTATAGGCCAAGTATTTT